TCGTAAATTATCATGGTAGATCTTGGTTTGTTTGAAATCGGACCCAGGAGAACCTCGGTTTGGTTTCAAAGAGTCTTCTGCAGTCTCATATCAGCACGGGCTCGCGGAGGAGCCGGAGGAAAGCCCCCGTCCCCTCTCGCTCCTGCTCCCCCGGCCTCTCCCCATCACCGCTGGCAGCTCCCAGGGAATGGACGTCCCAGCCGGGAAGGCGCACGTCACCCCCGCCGCTGCCAAAGCACAGGGGTGGGTAACGCTTGTGCGAGGTTGTGCGAAGCCTCAGAGTGCCCTGCCTTTGATGGGGCAGGGGAGCCAACAGCTTGGACTTTCCAGGCCAGTCCAGAAACTTGCTCAGCAACATCAAGAAATAGCATGGATGCTCAAGGAACAAATCCAGATCGACTCTGGAGTGCGGCTGGACCAAAGCTGGTCTGACACCAGTGCAGCCAAAATCAGGATCTGCCCTTACGCTTTTTATAACATACCACATTTGCTAACACAGTAGTCATAAGTGCATAGTTACCAAGTTCACACATTTAAGAGCCTTAAAGCGGATGCTCTGGCACAAGAAATGCTTACATGACACTGACACCTCAGTTACTCGTTATGCAGGAAATATTTCCTTCTCCCCTGGTACCAGTTAAACTAATTGCACTGTCAATTAAATATCTGGAGGTTCTTTGCTCTACAGTCAAGAGCCGGGACACTCTGTGAGCAGCACTCACTCTAGACAGGACATACCAGCCACAGGGACATACGTGCACGTACATGAGATGAGATGCTGTTTGGGAATTAATTCATTCCCACAATTAATTAATTCCCCCAAGTTCAGCCACCTGACTTCAGGTGGCTACTCGAGTGAAAGTGAAAGACCACGTCCTACTTCTTGGTAAAGCCTGCCGAGTCGAGCTGGCAACCTCCCCATACCTTGCAGTGGCCTCCGACTTCAGGAGAAGGTGAGCTCCTCTTGCCGATGTTATCACTGGACACCTGATTATTTTCTGCTTGGGGCGTAATCTTGCATCTTCACAGCTTAAAAAGTACCCCTCAAGTTAGGAGCCAGGCTTGCTGAAGCACTGTGCACAGCTTTCACGCTCTATTTAAGACGGGTGTGAGAAGCTAAACGGCAAATCCAGGGCACTGGTGCATCACTGCACGGGCAGCCTGAGCTCTGCTCAGGGATTTCAGGCTATCTGCACCCTCCCCAGGGTTTCCCCCCCCCCCCAAGAAATGCGAGCCAGCTCAGGCTGAGACATGCCACGGGCGCTGGGGTTTGAAGAAGGCTGTGTGCAGCCTGGAGAACCACGGTGATTTCTCCCGTGGTGGCTTCAAAAGCTCACACCTAAGACTGGGGACCACGGAGGCTGAGGTCCGCGCATGCTGCCGGGCAGTTACAACCCCATGGAGGGCACGGCTAACGTGAAAAACCACAGCAACCAGATTTGCTAGAGCTCGCCTGTTGGCCCCTGTTACACGGTGATTTGTTCACTGTACGCCTGATAATTAAATAGCTGCCTCGGTTTGTGGTGCCCCACGGCCCCGCTGTTGCTTTGGAGGTTAGATGATGATGGCCCTGTGGTGTTTCTTACCCAGGGCAGTGTCCTGCAATCTCTCCACTTGGCAGGATCACACCCAGAGCGCTGGTAAGGGTCAGGAGACATGTCATCATTACCCAGCTCCTAAAGCAAAAGTGGTTTTGGGATCCCGGCACAGAAACCTGCAGGAATTGCCCGCAGGAATCTCGTATTTGGTCCTGATAACAGCTCTGCTCTGAAGTGTTCCCGGCGAGTCACTGGAAACCTGGTGATAAAAGAAGTCACCCAACAGCAGAACTGGAGCACACACAGCTAGGAGAGGAGACCGTCCTCCACCCCTTGGGGTGGACACCCAATTGCAACCAGAAATCCTCTGTGAATTACTGAGTCAAATTTAACTAAAGTGTTTTTTGGAGGAAAAAAAAAAAAAAAAAAGCAGAAAAAGCTTGTCCCTAAGATGCACAGAGAGTATTTTTATTTTTTTCCCCTGAAACTAGGAGAGCAATGATGCTGCACCGTACAGACCCCCTCTACACTTGCCAGGCCAACGCAAGGTGCGGGGGTACGGATCCACCACACCAGCATGAGTAGCTTTACGCTAACGCAGCATTTCAGCACGAGCACAGGGGGGAAATGCTGACAGGCTTGAAGGGGACTGGACACAAACCAAGAAGAGAATAGAAGAATTGCTTTCAAGTTCAAGCTTCTACTCACCCCACCAGGTGCTCCTCGCGCTGCAGAGGACAGGAAGATTTACACGTGAAGCAGTACGAGAATAAAACACAGGACCTGTTAAAGACAAATTCTGCTGTGTGCTTTCCTGAGATTTGGAGAAATAGGGCTGAAGGCAGCCCTGGGGTGCTGCGGGAGCCCCCTCCAACTCTGCCCCGAGGCCCGTCCTCCTGTACCGTGAGCATCTGGCTCCCAGTTCCTTCCTGTGTAAAATGCTCGTGCCTACTCACTGCCATGCTGAGCATCGCCGTAAGTGGCACCTGTTGGATGCTCTTAAGCTGGGAATCGCTGAAGGGAAACGCACAACCCACATCTCAAGCCTGGGTAGTGGGTGACAGACTCAAAACCCTTTGACATAGTCATTACCCCCCGCAAAGTGAATTTAATAGGTCTTCCTGCAATCCTCACAGGACAGATATCCGCTATGTTAAAAACCATTGAAAGAGAAACCTTCAAAATTAGCAGTGCAGGAAGACTGGAAGGGAGGTATATTTTTCCAGCTGCATTTGGGAGGGCCTCTCCAGGACAAAGCTAAAACACCCTGGCTTTTCACCCTTTTGCCTTGATCATAACTGTTTGGAAGATAAATGCTAGCCTATCTTTAGCACTGGCATCTCTGATGTTATCATCTTGGAGATGGAGCAGAAAAATGTTAACAAAGAACAGTCGAAGGCTTACTTATTCTGCCTAACCACTAGAATATGGCTTTTTTTTTTTCTCAAATATTATGCTACAATGGATTCTCGAGCCTTCTTCGTGTTCACATCCACAGTCGTCTCTCAAAAGGGGGGAAAGGAAGGCGGCTATTTCCCCGCTCCGAGGAGGCGAGGGCCCAGTGCTGTGCTGCTGGCACAGCCTCCCGTGCCTCCTGCGCGGTGGCAGCGCAGCTGCACGCCGGCGCGGGGATGGGAAGGGCGACGGTGAATGGCCGGTTATTAATCCCAGCTGCTACCCAGAAACCAGGAGCGGGGAAGAGGACCGCGCACTCGCAGCCTCTGGAAGCTGCCACGCGCTTTGGGTATCGTCACGGGGATTCGTAGCAGGGCTGAACGCAACGACTGAAAAGTCGTCTGAAACCCGCGGCGTGGGGAGGATCCTCTACAAACCCCTGGAAACCTTACGGGGCTCATTAACCCGCTGTGTACCTTGTGAACATTTAGGCACACGGCTATAGAGTTCCCACAGATGTTTCAAACCCTTTCACCGACCCAAAACTCCCAGAACTGTAACAGCATTAGGAATTTGTTGAGGAAAATGATCCCAGCTGCTAGTAACTGATTATTTCTTACCCAGTCTGGTTTGCCTGGCTGAAAGCTGTTCTGGAGGTCAAGTTGCTTTGTACGTAGATGTTGTGTGTGTTTATGTACTGCATCTATGCAGAAAGCAGCCTTCAGGGTCTAACGGCAAAAGGAGACAAGCTCTTTCACAGACTGCACGTGGGGGGACTGGGCGGGGGGTGGTTTAAATGCTTTTTTTACAAGGAGGTCAGGCCAGAGCCTGGACCCGTTTCTTTACCTGCTGAATTACGCACACGACCCACCCCTGGCGCTGGAAGTCAGCTGGCTCTCCTACCACAAGGGAGTTTTTAAAACTTCCTGTACTTACAAAAGTTGGTGAAGGACCCGTCCAAAAACAAGCCCCCCCCCCCCCCCCCCCCCCGACTTCCCGCTCCTGTTTTTCCACAGCTTTAAGTTATAGAGAGAGAACAGGCTCCAGTCGTGCTGGGCACTCCTCAGGCGCGTCACCCGCTGTGCTTCAGTGCCCAAGGGCACGAGCCCCTGGTTGCCAGCCCTGACCGGGCACCCCCTTCCCCATCTGCACCACGTCCAGCCTTCCCCTCTGCCCCGATAAGCACACAGCATGCTGTTTGTCCCTGGTTATCAGTATGATTGCACTCCAAGAAAAGCTGTAACTCCCCAGAAAACCTTGCCCACAGAAATGTCTGTTCGAGGCTGCGGCTCACTACCAGCTAATACATAATAACCGGGAAGTTTTAACTGCCAGGGGCTTGCCTGGAAGGAAGATGCTGCCATGGGATTACACTATTAGCACAGGAATATTTCAAGAGAATGGAGAAAATACGGGAAGAAGATTCCCAGTCCAGGAATTTGCTTTTCATTCTGCAGAGAGCCTTGGATGCTCCTCGGCACACACACTGCAGAGAGGGAAAATCATACAAAATCTTACGTGTGCCCTGTACCCGCACAGAAGCCCCATGTAACTTCACTCCTAGAACACATCAAAACACCCTCGCTTTTCAGCTCCAAGAAAAGCATGTCCACATACTACCCCTTGCTCTGGTAAATAAAACTGTATTGTTTCCAGTTACCGAACGCATCTGTAGCACTAAACAATTTACAGGTCAGAAGGGGAAAGGGAGAAGGGACAAAACCAACTTGGATGAGCACAGAAAGGATATACGCACTTTTGCAAATGCACGAGGCTTGCCCAGTTGCATTAAGGTTCTCTGACACAACCAGTGACAAACACTCCGTAAACATCAATTCAGGTTAACGCAAAGATCTCAAAGAGGTAAATAAAGTCTAAAATCAGCCTGACCTGGCTCTTGTCTCTTCAGCTTGTACCCGACAGTACAGGCTGCAAAACCTCCCCAAGGAAAGCATCAGCTGCTTCTGCACTAGCTACCGACAGCTTTTAAATCCCTTTAGCCCTCAAAGGGGTAAAAGAAGCTGAAAGAGGACAGTCAGATCCCTGAAATAAGGTCAGTCTGATATGTACTGTGCAAATATATCAGATTTTATTACTCTTTTATGGAAATAATAAGACATTCAGGTAGAAACATATTAAATTAATGCAGTCAACGGTTTAAATGCAAAAATAAATATAAAGTCCAGCAGCTCAATGCATCTAAAACAGCTCATTTCTTCTAACGAATAGAAAAGATTTTTTTTTTTTTGTCTTTTAAACGGAGAGTTTCATACAATCGAATAGAAACGAAGGTACAAGCGCTTTCTTAGAAAACATCCCACCCCGGGCGCTCCTCGGCCAGCGGCGGGGCGGCTCCCTGCTGCCCAGTCCGGGCCGGAGCCGGGCGGGAGCCGGGAGCCGGGCCGGGAGCCGGGAGCCGGGCCGGGGGCCGGGAGCCGGGCGGGAGCCGGGCCGGGGGCCGGGAGCCGGGGGCCGGGAGCCGGGGGCCGGGAGCCGGGGGCCGGGAGCCGGGCCGGGCGGGAGCCGGGCCGGGCGGGAGCCGGGCCGGGGGCCGGGAGCCCTCAGAGGGCCGAGTCCGAGTCGCTGGAGTCGAGGCTGTTGCGGAGGCGGCAGCTGCCCAGGCGGTCCCGCTGGAGGCTGAGGTTCTGGGTGCTCCGCCGCAGGCACTCCAGCGACTGCAGGAAGGATTTCCTGGCCTTCTCCTCCTCCATGGGGGACACCCCCTCCTCCTCCACCTCCTGGATCTCGTCGAAAGTCACCGGCTGCGTCTTGAAGCGGGACTGCCGCGGCCGCCGCAGCTTGCCCTTGGGGGGTTTGGCGGGGCGGGCGGGCGGCGGGGGAAACTCCTCGGCCACGCAGACGAAGTGGGGCATCACCGCCTGGTAGCTGGAGCAGACGCCCGGCAGCTCGGCCGCCTTGGCCGCCATCCCGCCGCCCGCGGGGCCGCTCGGCGCCGGCGGAGCGGGGCGCGCAGCTTCGGCCGTGCCGGGCGGGGCGCGGAGAGGCGCGGAGAGGCGCGGAGGGGCGCGGAGGGGCGCGGAGAGGCGCGGAGAGGCGCGGAGAGGCGCGGAGAGGCGCGGAGAGCGGCGCCGGCGGAGCGGGGCGCGCAGCTTCGGCCGTGCCGGGCGGGGAGCGGAGAGGCGCGGAGAGGCGCGGAGAGGCGCGGAGAGGCGCGGAGAGGCGCGGAGCTCTGCCGCTCGCCGCCGGCTCCTCCGCGCCCTTATATCCCCGGCGCGGCCGCCGCGGGAGCATGCTCAGACAGCCGCGGAGCCCACTTGCCGGGCGCTCCCCTTCCGCCCGGCGGCCCCCCCCACCGCGGGGAGCTGTGGGGGGTGTGGGGGGAGAGGGGGGCAGGGCCCGGTGCGTGGGAGGCCCCCCCCCCCCCCCCCCCCGCAACCGAGACACTCTCCGTGGAGTCTTCTCCCTGAGACGCTTCGCCCCTTCCCAGCACCACGAGCCCACCCCCGTGGGGGGGGGGGTGGTGTGTGTGTGTGTGTGTGTGTGTGTGTGATTCGGCCTCGCTCCATCCCCGGGGGGAATCGCAGCAGTCGTCCAGCTTTCTACATTTCCCCTCTTATTTATTTATTTGTTTGTTTATTTATCGGTGCCATCATTTCTGTGGCTGTCGGAGCGCACGATCGGGCTGGTCACGTCAAGCTTTCGGCAGGGATCGCCGCCGTTCAGAGCAACACACGCATGGCTCAAGGAACATCCCCCCCCCCCCCGAGGTAAGCCCCAATCTGAACACACCACGACACTAGTGACCCAGATTTAAACCACAGCCATCACCCCATGGGTGGCCCCTGACAAGAAACCGTCAGCAACAGAGGGTTAAGCTGGACTCAAGGCTCTGGGATCTCATTCCCAATTCCACCACCTCTAACGTAAACACCTGCTTCACTGTGACTCCCTTTGTTCATCCTTTTAGAAGGGATCCTAAAATTTTCCATTCCCCATACTTCTTTGATAGGATGCTCCGATCCTTGGACAAAAAACGGCGTACAAATATTACTGAGCTGAAACAAAAGCTTGTGCGTTACTGATGGCTGGGACCACGCTTTGAAGCTGTGCGGGCCAAGGAGCTGCAGTGATGGAAAAACCCCACAGCGTAAGAAAAACATACGATAGGAATAGGAAAGGAGCTAGAAGGAAGCGGAGTAAAAAAGCAGGAGGGAGGAAGAGCCTGAAATGGTTAGTCTGTCCCCTCTTCAGGGCTAATGTTAGACTATTCCCATAGATGTTCTCCCGTACAGCTTCACCCGCTCGAGGATATTTTTGAAGCTTGGTTAGGGACCGGGAAGGAAGCAGAGGTTTAGCAGCGGCTTCGGGGATCCTGGGCTGTGCTGGGGGGGGGGGGGGGGGGACACAGGGCCTCGAGGTTTGCTAAGCCATCGGTGTGCACAGAGGTGCCCGCAGGGACCTGCGCTTCCCCCGGCATCCTGTGCCCGAGCGAGCACCTCTGCAGCTAGCTTGAGTTTATCGCATTTAGCCGTAAAACTTGCTCTGAAAAAAAAACCCCAGCAGCTTACATGCAGCACGCGCGTCTGGTGCCACAGCCCAGCACACAGAAAGGGACTCGGTTTTGCGGGTGCACCGCCAAAAAGTCTCAGTTTTGTCTCTGGGTCAGACTTGGGACGGCTCCCTCCTCCTTTCAAGCTGCCTCAGCAGTGGCGATGTTTCAGGACCGGCGCTGGAAACAAACCATTGTAATTACAGCCCTGTCTCAAACGGGATAAAGCAAACCAAGAACCCAGCTTTGGGAGAGAGGGGACCAGAGGCACTTGCTCGCCTGTTTCCAGAAGGCTGGCTGCTTTGCTTCTTGCCAGCATAAAAGAAACATTAAGAGCCTTGGTTTTATGAAGCACCTGGCTGCAATCTCGTGGCTCCCTGGATCCCTAGGGCAGCTTTAGGGCCAGGTTCAGTTTGAAGCCTTTTTATTGGGAGATACAATTAGCTTAATAAGGGAACAATTTTCTGTTTGGTCAAATTGAATCATTCCAGCCTGGAGAAGGCTGTGTTCTTTACTGTTGATTTTAATGGCTAAATTTAGCCCATACAGCTCTTCATGCAGTACGACGACTTTCTCTCCGAGAGCTCCATTTACAACAGTTTTTATTGCTGACAACTTGATTCTGCAGCATGGTGAGGGCCGTACTGTTTCCTCAGCACAGCCCGCCAAGAAGATGAGCCTGCAGAGGAGTTTGGAGGGCTGAGCTTGGCTGCAGAAACAAGCTGTGGGGTGACACGGGAGCCTTGTTCTGGCAGGGCAGAAAAGCATCTCACATTCATACGAAGCGAGGTAAATTTAATCCGCTCCAGCCTAACAGCGTCCAAGGTTCTACCAAAAAAAGGCCGGTTGACTTGATATCTGAAATGCAACACATGCATCCCCAGCCCAAACTGGTTTCGTACAGAAAGTTCGGTATGAGGGCAAACTAGTTTCGCTTCAGGTAGAGCAAACTTTTAATCCCCTCACGATTCTGATGATAACATGCTCTGGGAGATTTCAGTGCTGAGTTGGAGCAACATCACCATGGTAATAACCGGGAGGCCTTAAGATTTTATTTGAGACAATTCAGAAAAAATATCCTGTGACATAATCCCCCAAGTTAGGTCTGCAATGCGCTAATGTAAAAACTATATTTACTCCAGTGGTTTAAATCATCGCTTTAATCTCGGTTGCTCCCGGTATTGAAATGTGACCTCATGGTATAGATTACAAAAACTCTCTGCCGTGTGGATCATCAGAGCAGATTTCTTTCCTGCATAGTACCGGGCTGAAGTCACATCGTACGGCCAGGGTGCTGCAGAGAGGCTGGGGGAACCCGTGCCCAGGGCTGGGAACGTTTCAAATGCTGCAGGTTTTACATAAAAATATCCACTCGACAGCTGTGGGGCCTTGGGAAGTTAAGAACACCGGTTTTGTAGGAGAAGGAACGACTAACACTGCTGAGACAGCACCACGGAAATTAGTTATGTCATCAGGTCACTTGTTTAACAGTGCGGTTACAGGAAATACACACATAGCCCCGTAATTATTTTTCCTCTTGCTGGCTACCAGATTGAATGCCACAGAAAGAAGGAAACAGTAAGAGGAGGAGAGGAAATATCTGCCTCTTCCTGAAGAAACTCTGGAAAGGCCAGGGCTTCCACAGAAACCACCTGTAGTTAGGCAATCCCAGCGCAGGTACCCTGAGCACCGTGCCCCGAAACGGAGCAGTGTGGGATAAGCTGCTTCCCAGCAGGATGCCTCAACCCATCCCCAGCAGGTGGGTTTCAAATCTCCCCTCAAAACATGCTCGAGAGTAAACCTGCCTCTTGCCGTCCTGCCAGGTGGCATTTCCAGTCACGCTTCTGTCCTGGGGCAGCCACCACACAGCGCCTCGGTGTGCACATCCCTACGCCTGCTCCGCGAAATACTTGCCGTGAGGAAATGGGAAGGAGTTGTGGTTCCTTCTCCACTGTAGTTCACACCCTGAATTTTTAAAATGAGTAATAAAAACATTCCGCTAACTGCAACCTAACAGACACAGGCTTAGAAATAGGAAAGGACAAAATAAACAAACAGGCAGTCGATACAAACTACTTCTGGAAGCAGAAGGTAAGTCTTCTCATCTTTATATAAAGATGCACACATGCACATTTGATTTAAACTTGAAATTGTACCTTTCTGACGGGGGAACCTAAGTTACTCAACAAGGCCCAACCGAAACCCACTCTGAGTCTGCTGCCTGGAGAAAAGCAAACTGTTGTTTCTTTCTAGCTATCAGAACAAAACAGCAGCACCACCAAGTGCAGCTTAACTCAGCGGCCAAGCCACTCTCAAGCGCATGTCAATGCATTTACACCAGGGAACTGTTTGACTAATTCCCTGCAAGGGCTAGGCACTCAAGGTTGCCATATCCCTTTCCTTCCGTATTTGACTGGATATCCTTTATCTTCCTTTCCAGTGTTTCTAGCCAGGACTTCAGCAGCCTTTTAACATTTTCTTCTGTTTAAAAAGAAAAAATAAAAGCAAAGCCAGCCCCAGCAGCGGACAGCCTGAGGGTAATCGTACAGTAAGGATCACACACCCGCATGCTCACAGTCGGGCAGCCAACAGAGCAACGCGCAGCCAGCATTTTAAATGCCTGACGTGTCCCTGGAAATATTTTCCTAAAGACAGATCCCTCACGTTCCCTGGACCATGCCGAGGGGCATCCCACCTGGCAGCACTTGGGGGGCAGCTGCAGAATAAGCACTTCTCCCCTCTGCAGCAGGCAGGTATTGGGAAAGATTTAGCTGCAGGACTGGAAATCTCTGTAGGCAAGAGAAAATTGGGCTTGTTCTGCAGCACACGCCAACCTATGCAGGCCAGGGCTCTCCATGCCCCAAGCCCTGCAATTTTTGTCCCCAGCAATCATCCTCCCTCATCCCTCACATGAGCCAAAGGGAGAAGCCTCAGGCATTAAGGCATGAGGAAACTCCCCTATGGCACTTACCATACCTTGGAGGGCAGATACATTCATCAAGGCACCAGTAAGCAGCACTGGGAGGCTCAGGTCCATGCTGGGGTGTTTGCAGACAGCTTATGAAAAATTATTTCTATGTGCCCGTCCCACGAGGAAGCTCTTGCTGATGTACCAGGGAGTTGCTAGGATGGGCAAGTTCTCTGAGGGATGCTTCAAACTGGATGTGTTCAGTGCATTAATTGTAAGTGCATGGAAGGATTTTTACATCTACACAGGCAACCTGCTGCAGAAATGGTGCCACCTTGCCACTTACTGAGGTTTTAAGATACTTCCTGAGACAAAATAACTTCTTAAGAGAAGAACTTTGTCTCATTTTCATATGTCTCAATTTTATGGGTAAGTTGGCCGTTTTAGCTGAAAAATTTCTCTCCAGGTCAACCTAAAGTAATGAGTATGGGAAACTCAGCCGAGTTGTTGATTCCTGACCTTTTGTTTTGTTTTTGTTTTTTTTTTTTACAGAGAACATCATCCCACGATCCTCCCTTCCTCAGCCCACCCCTGAAACCTGTCTCCTCCTCTTCCTCACCCCCCAACCTGCGGCTCCTCCTCCCTCTTCCTCAGTCACGGCCGCTGCAGTTCAAGCAAGACGGGTGTGGGCCCAGGCCCAGCAGTGCTCCCCGTCCCCGACGGCACCTCCCGCTACCTGGGCATCGACCTGCAAGAGAAGATCGCTACACAGCATTAGCCAAACAAAGCCTGAGTATCGTTACTTCCATTATCTGGGTAATCTATACGTGTAGTTACACGATGTAAATTGGCGCCATGCTGTGTCAGTCATTTCAGGCCTAGCGAGTCATTTCAGGCCTAGCGAGTCATTTCAGGCCTAGCGGGTCATTTCAGGCCTAGCGGGTCATTTCAGGCCCAGCGGGTCATTTCAGGCCCAGCGTGCGGGAGATGTAAACCTGCCGCGGGTTTTCACTGCGACGTGAGTCACCGAAGCCCACGTTTCAGCTTCCCGGCGTGAGCAGCACAGTTGTAACTTGGCCAAGGGCAGCCAGTGAAAAATGAAGACTGTAAAAACCAGAGTCAGGTTTGGTAGGGAGGATGAGTGGAAACAAGGAACCCTCAGCAGCAGAGGAGCCAGGAGGAAGAGCGGGGCCGCGCAGGCTGGCCAAGAGCAGAGCCAAAGCTGGAGGAACGAGAGCGAGGGGCAGTCTGGGGTCGGTGGCAAGGATGGAAAACCCAGCATGGGGCCACGGGGCACGCTGCCTACAGGGTGCACGGCCTCAGCTCCCTCCCGACCTCGCTTCTCGGCATGGAGCCCTGGGAGCCGGCCCGTCCCCCTTCCCACGCAGCAGCCAGCGCTGCGAGGTGAGGACATCCCTGCGGCAGGACAAACGCCCAGTGACAGACACCCGGCACCACTTGTGAGGGGCTCGTGATACAACATAGTGAATACAAAGTACGTGCAGACAAAGCTCCTACCTCCTCACATATCTCACCTCCACTCTTGCCTGACTTCTTAGGAGCTGCAATAAATCCCGTAAAGCTTCAGCCTGCTGCCATTAGGACAGAGTACTGACTCAAATGTATGAACGCTTTAATGCTCCTCACAGAAATACGTTAGTCTCTATACTGAATGGTTTTAATTGTAAAATGATAGCTGAAGTGAGAAGACAGCGTTTCAGGAGCACGTCACAGGATAACAGCATTTGGCTGTCACCGCACAACTAATAATAAATGTAGTAACAAAACTCGTTGTTTTCAGAGAGTGCTGCAAAATGTTCCCTGACAGAAACCGCTACATTAAATTTCCCTTGTTTGGCCTGACGGGCGTCAGAAGGAATGGCAGCTTTTCCCAGCACTGTTACTGACGTATCAGGACACGGCGATGGGAGGATATGAAATAAAAGTGCTGCTTAGACAACTGCCGACCAGTGATTGCAGAAAACCCAGCTGCCTAAAGAATGAAACTGTGCTTTTAACAAATTAAAGAGACTGACTGCTTTGACAATTCCTGCTGGTACAAGTTGCTGCCACTTGGAGTACAATTAACCTCTAACCTCCCATGGCTATAAGTGTTACTATGTCTAGTTGTTACTGTGATCCTATCAATTAAGCAGCGCAGAAATTAGGATTTCTACTTCAACAATACCTTTTGCAATTAATAAAACACATCCTGCCTCAGGTTCAAAACCTTGAAAAAAATGTTTTGCCCAACCAAATAAATTAAAAAAAAAAATACCAGAACCTGATGTGCCAGCCCCAGGAGCAGAAATGCTGTGGGCAGGGGAGCGAGGCGAGGAGGATTGCCCCGCTCCTCCCCCATGGAACCCGTAGCTCTGAGCACAGGATGCCCGTCTGTACCCAACTGCTGATTTTTGCAAGAGCTGAAGAATTATTGCTGAGACTCTTCCTATCCTCTCTCGGATTTGGACAAAACTGACCACGAACCTCAAAATGAGCAAGGGAGGGCAGATCAGCAGACAGCATGGCCACAAAGGCTCTGGCTGCTTTGGAGTTTGGGCAAAAGGAAAACCTATGTGGGTCGAGACTAAAAATCTTAAATTGGTGCCACAAATAGCATCTTAGCGCTTCTGAAGGATTTAATCTTCCACTTTCTTCTGCATCTAAAACCACTGAAGAACATCCAAGTATTTCAGCAGAATAAATTTCCTTTTTTCCTCTCTTTTTAAGCCTATTTGTAAGTAATCACAAAGAAATTAACTGTAGTCTAGAGGTTAAAACAGAAGTTTCTTGACAATGAACTATCACACTTCAAGTAACCAAATCTTGCAGGCTGTTTTTTACTCAGTCTCTAAACCTTTTTGGGGACTTTAGACAAAAATTACTACAGCCACCTCAGTAAATATGTGACAGTGTTTCCAGCAACTGAAGCCCTGCCTTTTGGAGGGGATCCAGCATGGCACTAATGCTGACAAGCAGAAAGAGAAGCGTAACCCCATCCCTGTCAGATGAAAGCCCCTACCGCCTAAAGCCGAGGAACGATTTTTGTAACTCCGGGTAGAAGTTTTTCTAAGATAAAATAGAGCCACTTTGGTCTCTGCAAGGGAAGTGAAGCCAGGAGTTAATTGATGAGGTGACCAAAAGACTGATCAGTGCAAAATACAGGGATGTTACAGAGAAGCAGCCGATGCTCAGGCCATTTTATCCTACCCGTGGCTGCTGCAGCCCCAACACGCTGTGTCCTGTGTCCAGCCCGCGGTGCCTTGCTCCATCGCTCTCCTTGCCTGGGGGCCTGTGAGGATTTCTTCAGGCTGGTTTGTCAGCCCATCTCAGGGAAGCAACCTCTTCTCTGGCACGAGCTGCGACAGCTTCATGGCCGCTGGGGAAGCGCAGATATTGGCAAATTTTGCCTTTACACAGTGCCAGACACCTTCCTCCCGACGTGCCCGCTGCCTGCCCTTCCCTGTGCAGCGGTGGGCGGGTGGGTACCGGTGCTGCATCCCGGCCATGTAACCCAGGGAGCCCGCAGCCACCCACCCCTTCCCAACAGAAAACGCCACCAGGCAATTTTAAATCCCTCTTCCATCACCCCCACTTGTTTCCCCCCAAAGAATTGAGGAGCCTGAATCTTGTCGCCCCCCTCATTTCCAAGCCCCGCCAGCTATTTCAAGCTAAAGGCATGCCACACCAGCTGGGCAGGCTGCCTCCTCCTCGGCACACACAGAAACCCATCGCGGATCTGCCTCCAGAAAGCAGGACGCGGGGAGGGAGGGATACTGGGAACCATGGAAGTTCTGCAGCCTAGCAAACCGGGCACCAAGCTGGGACTCCGGGTCGTATGCCCAGGCCAGCACGCCCAACAGAAAGTCATGTCTCTGTTCGCTCCCACTTCATCTTTTGCTCTTCAGTGCAAGAAGTCCTCCTGCAGCCCTCCCTAACGATGACAAGGACACGACGGGCAGTGACAAGTCACAGCCACAAGTCCCCTGTCCCACCCAATGCTGGGGCTCTTTCTAGCCTGTGGGTTCTTCCAAGTGGCCTGTTTTCTGCTCTTTTTTGCTCGAAGGGATGATGCTCGGGCAGCTTACCTGCCAAGGTGAGCCACGGCAGGGCTGCACGGCAGCGTGCCCTGGCATGAAGGGCATTGCTGGGAACACGTGCCCAGGGGCAGAGGACTGCCCCAGTAACTCGAAGATCAGCTGTAACGCCAACCCACTCCTCAGCGTGGATCTCTGTGGTGTCTCCACCGTGGGACTAGTGAGACAGAATGAATAACACCCTCCTCTGAACGGCGAAGCAGCCGCACACGCAGCTATAGGCAGAAACAACTTTCAGTCAAGCATCATTCTGGACCCAATGAGCATTGTGTGTCTGGATGATCCCCTGTGAAGACTCTGCTCTAAGAACTTATCAAACGATGGGGACCACACAACAGACCACCTCGCTCCTTGTTCTGCTTAAAATTCTTCAGTAGGGTCCCTGCTTTCTTTACCTAAAACAAGGCCTCCCAGCTCTCCTAGGACGTGCCTTCCCAGCGTGAGCCGCCAAAGACCTGCCACCCAAGCTGTTCTTCGAGGGAGCTTGTAATGACCCTGCAAAGCCATACTCAACGTTACGCAGAAGAAGGATGAGGTAAAGCAAATAGGACAAGAGGGGAGAAAACACACGCCTGTTATCGTACCAAGGGGATGGCCCTCTGGGAAGGGCCAGTGCTCCTACAGGCAACCACCGCTGAGCCCCTATATGACCCTCACAAGTCACTCTCCGGCACGCCAAGAAGAGATGATACCTGCAAGATCTCAGCAGAAGTTAGGCGCGGGGAGGACAGGTCAGTGAGCTCCAATTTAAACAAATAGCCCCAGTTGCTATGGAAACCTCAAGGATGGAAAAGAAGCACTTTGAAAACAAAACGTAGTGAAGCAGATTTCATATCCACTCTGAAACGGTTTATGACCAGAAAAGGCAAAGTGGGTGTTAAATGCTTTTTAGCTAAGTCAATAGGAACAGCACTTGAAAAGGAGGCATTATGGATTCGCAGCCCCCATCACACCTCTTCTCTCCCAAACCCCAGGAGAACAGTCCTCAGTACTTTGCCAGTACCAGGGTATGAAAATTCTGGTTTCTTAACCCCTTCCTGGCACCCCGTCTCCTTCTACATCACTATTGTAACTACAAATTACTATATGTAGCTATATTAAGCCCATCAAGTCACGACAAGTGGAAAATGCATAGCTAGAATTAATCTGATGCAGGAGGAATAAAATTATCTATGGCTTTAAAGCTAGTAAAAACTGAACTGAAAATCCTAGTCTTTTTTCCCCACTAAAAAAAAAAAAAAAAAAAAAATAGAAATACAGCAGAGAAATGATGGAACTTTGCTATTGGTTTTAGATGGCGTGTGCTCAGGTCAACCTGGTGTGGCCCAGCAGCACAGTGTTCAATCAGATATACTCCAACTTCATCAAGAGTTTGTGCTTGAATACTCAAGTACTCTGTGACTGAATGATTATTGCAAGTAGCAAGGAGACAGAGCAATTGCTGACACCACTGTGGTCAGTTAACATTATTGTTTATATAGGTGTTAAATAAATGAATGGTTACATATTGTTGATGGAACCAGTCGCCCTTTTTTTCAGAACAGCTCCATCCTGCACGTTCCCTCAGGGTGGCAGCCCACCACCCATCCTTACCAAAACCAGCTGCCATTCATCTGTTCCTTATCATCAGGCCTGAGGGCCATTATATTTTGGAAAATGTGATGGCTATTTTGGAAAAGGGAATCTTAACTGAGGTAACTAGTAGATTCAATCTGTTTGAAAGCCAGAGACAGTGAACGGTTTTGAGGAATGCAATTTTTCAGCTGTTCTTGGAAGAGACACACCTACTCTGCTGAAAAATAACATTTCGCAATGAAGAAACAGGAAAAAAGTAAACCCACAGTTTATATCTGCTATGTAAAAAAATACCATCACACCTGCAGCAGGGAGCATATGAGAGGTAATGAGAGACAAATATGAACAAATGACAGTGGGAGGTGAGAGGGGAAAGGAAAAGGCTACGAGAGGCAGTTTGGGAGACAGGAAGAACACAGGGAATATGGAAAATAAAATTCAGAGGTGCTCTCTAGGCAAAGCAGCTCTTAGCACCTGCTCCACTACCTCACATGGACAGACTACTCCACACTTAGATTAGTGAGTCTGGTGGTAACAGCAAACCCAAAAACTCTAGGCAACCCACCCCACTCCTGAAGCCCCTGTGTACGTACAAACCTTTGTTTTCAGATAAAGATATTTTACTTTACATTAATGTAGTGTATTCTGAGTTTTAACCTTTTTTCCGAAAGCTTTTTGGCTGCGAATATTGTAATCTCATACTGTCAAAACAATCCTGGGAAGGAAAAAAGCCGTGTAACTGGAAAAGAAATGTTTTGGGTAGCATTTTTAGAAATACTGGTTTTAAATCCATATAGCTAGGGGAAAGGTTCCTCCAGCTAATGTTTAAGTTAAAGAACGGAACCTAACTACATATTTACCATTCTAAGTACATTAGTTACCCTCTGCACTGAACTCTAACAGCAGGAACAGCTGAACAGCAGCACTAAAAATTTTCCAGTTGCCCTGGCCTCCGGTGAAAAATCTTTAGGTGCCATGAGACCACCAGGCTCAAGACTTCTCAAATCTCACTTTTGCACACATCCATTTTGAGAACTGCAAGAGTCCCTGCTGCATTCAGGAACAAATTTCTACCTAGAGGGAAAATGTTCCTGCAGAAAGATCTCCTGAGGAGATGTGGGCTGGAATCTCCTCTGCCCTAAGCCGCTTCCTGCTGTCCCGGCAGGCGGGAGGCTGCAATCCGCTGCCACCTGGCTAGGTGACTTTTTTGGGAGGAGGTGGGGGGAGGAAGGAAGGACCCACAAGTTCCCAGCTGACAAAGAAACTTGACCTCTATGCCAACTGTTCCCCTTGCAGCCAGGACACTCGGGACAGGGGGAGGAATGATGCCACGTGCCTCCTCCCCACTGTCAACCAGATTTGGATATAAGCAGCAGCACGGTCGACACATGAGAGAGAGCAGAACATAGCAGACACCAGCAGCAAAAGGGTGTCACCCCAAGATTGCTCCGTGGGATACAGCATTTCTCCTATAAACCATTTTATTGTTGGGGAGGAAACACTGGTCTTCTCCCAGATCAAAGGAAGTAGAGAAACTAAAACCCAATTTGCTAACATTATAAATTGAAGCCGAGAAAGTAAGTGAAAAACTGTTCTTCCGGAACAGTATCAGCCTCCAGGGCCCTACCACCAGTTATGTGCCACAGCTTCACTGAATTCCAATGAGTTGCAATTTCCACAGGCTGAAGTTTGGGGGTTTAAAAGTTTCTGTCTTAGGCCCCCATCTCCTCCTCTCTCTCGCAGCATGACTGCTCTTAACACAGTGTAAATAAATTTCGCTTGTATGAACTCATAAAAGGCTACAGAATACCTGGAGAAATTAGGACTGCCCCTTGGTTAAGGGAAAGCACTCTCTGTCAGGACTGCCAAACCTGGGCACACACAGGGACATGCACAGAGCTCCAGCTACCCAAAGAAAGTAAACGTGAAGGTAAGCATCTGCCTCCTTCAACACTAATTCCCAGGAGATACATCACAGAGCCCAGATCTTAGATTCAAATGCAAGGAATTAACATCAAATATACTCCAAAAGGGCATTTCTATACAAACTGGGATGAAAGTGAAGACATTAATAGATAACAAAGTAAGTTTTCTAACGATATTCATTCACTTTAGAAGAATATTTCAAAAGCTGTATGCTGCTTTAGGTAGAGAAGCTGTTTCTGGAGTTGTCTGATCTACAAAGAAAATGATTCTGCCCAATTTAAGAGCGCAGGGACTGAAATGGCTCAACAGTCTGTCCTTTAGGTCATCAGTAACATTAAAACAGAGGCATAATTGAGTATTAATAACTTGATGGCTCTCATCAAGTAAGAATTTTAAACTACAGCAAATGCTGGCTAGGTAAAGATAAACATTTTCTAAACACCAACTTATCCTTGCACTGAAGAGGGACGCTAGCTTGCTTAACAATGTTAATGTGTTACAAGGCAGACAGCATTTATCCACACTTAAATCCTACCTCAGGCAGGCAGCGAAGACATGCCAAACGCCTGTTCGGATCTGGTACAGGGGATGCTGTTTAGCCACAGCAAGAAGGTGACCACGCAGGCAGCACACCTGACTGAACACTCAGACAGCAGCCACCAGCTCGCTGGTTCCTCCAACGGGTGAGATGTACCTGGGGCTGGCAAACCTGAAGAATTCCAGCAAGTCGACCTAGAATCAGGTCTGAGCTGCTCCTCTGTAACAGCAGTTTCGAGTGACAGCCCTCCAAATAATATTCTTTAACGCAATATGCACAGACCTAGGAGCAGTAGTGTCACAGTGAGTGCTGCACTGGTGCTACTACACTCTACTTGGTGTAACTTTGCAACCGACTTACATTGTGATTATCATAATTTCGGTCCAAATCTTCGGACCAGTTCTTTGGGGTATCAAATTTGGCAGCACGAGCCTCATTTTTAGAGATGCTGACATCTCCTGCCCCACCTGAAACCCACAACTTAGTTGTGCTAAAACCAAAAAAAAGAAACCAAGAATTTATTAGCTAATTCTGAAAGCAATGCTTTTAATCTCTTTGTGTCTATTTTCCTGCCCATGACACAGAGGTAACAGTGTGAAGCCAGCAGGGATGGAAGACTGTTGATACTCAAGCAATGGGCAGCTTCGATCTGGCTGATAAGGCTCGTGGTGAACGGGTCGCTGTTGCTCGCCTTCATCTGTCTTGTCTACACAGATAAACAGTTAGGATAAAGTCTGACCACAGAGTGCGCAGCAAGAGGGAGGCTTGACCCTCTGTTCTGCTAGGCAACAACGCAATTCAAGCAGTTATATAAATAATGAAACTGATTGCTTCATTGGAAAAGACTTTGCAACCTACTAATAAAAAGCAACACACTACTCCTTGGTGAAATGAGTAATAGTTGGAGATCATGGTGAAGTGCAGCCTTCTCATTTCTGCACACGCAGCATATGTACACAAAAGAACCCTGTCTTGTCATTACTTACAACACAGATCACTACCTGGGCAGAAAGCAGAGACAACAGAAGGGGGAAAAACAACTGCTCACGGAATCTTTCTGCTCCAGTCGGCACCTCTCAGACCTTCCATGTGCTTTGTGTTCTTTTAAGCATGATCACTGTTTTTTTCACAAACTTAAAGACTGTGATTTAGTATCGTCTAATAGTGTATCATTTCAGAAAACAAAACGGCACTGTCCACATAACACAGGCAGCTTCTGATTGTCAAAGGTCGTCAGAATATCGATTCTTTTCCCCATCAGATATTTCACAGAACTCTGCTCCTGTAAGGCATCCTTTAAATCTGTAGCAACCTCTGGCTCTCGATCTGCTGTAGGTTTACATCCAACAATGCCGAAGTGCCTCTTTACTTCCAAACTCCATCAGGTTCTGGATAAATGATCCTAAAGGTCAAGTTTATCCGTGCATCTCTAGAATGATATTCCTTAGGTACTCGATGCTGTAAGTGGCATTAGAAGGAAAAAAAAAAAAGAAAAAAAAAAAAGGCAAAAAAAAGCACATGAGCTTGTATATTTAAAATATAGGTAATCAAACAATGTAAAATTACTTCATTTCCTGTGATGGCTTTTTATTAACATTTCTAAACACTAAGGTAAGGCAAAAAAATAATGTTCTGACTGCTCAGGGCCACTGAAAACAGAAGAGCTTTTGTAGATTACTGCAGACTTGTTAAATTAAGTTGCAAATTTTTTATATTCCAAGTTCCTAAATTGATTTTGCTCTTTCAGCTGCAGGCTGCAGCCTTCACTGATGAACTTTAATGCTGGAACATATGAGCTGATTCCTATCACGTGACTTAGCACTCAAAAGAAAACCCATTGTTTCTGTGGCTGCTTTGAATTTCTGAGGCAGAAAGCAATATTAATATGCTGGGAGACAATCATGTCACTGCAAGCAGAATGTCCCATACCTTCACGGGAGTGACTCGTGCTTATTTAGAAAACTGCATTGCAAGGGAAGCACACAAATGGTGTCAAGGAGTTCCTACCTGCCAATCCTCCTGGGTGGCTCCTTCCATCAGCAGCAGAGTCCCGTGATCAAGCGGGATCCTTAGTCTTTCCACGTAAGTATAGTCACCATTCTCTTCCTAAAAAGAAACATTAGGCACTGAAGAAGTGGGCATGCCATTTGGTAGAAAAACAGTCCTCTACAGCAGAGCTTACAAAGCTGTGAGAGAAGAGGAGGAAAGGAAGCTTACAAGATCAAGAAGCCTAATTAAACCTCTCTGATACCATATTTCATAAAGAGTTCAGGAGGCAAGCATTTTAAGGATGATAGAAGCCACTGCACCTCACTGCCTGTACAACACAGGTAAGATTCAACAACAAGCTCCTGCATCTAGTGCAAAATTCTAGAGCGAGGCTATGAACCTTTTGGAACCATCCAGTCTTGAAATAAACACTTCTGGGTGGAGGCATTCTGCAATAGCCACCCCAATTCCAACAATTAACTACTTCATCAAAAATACACATCTCCCTTCTATTCTGAATTTTGTCTTGTTTTGGACGTTACATGCTGGTATAGTATTATCTGCTAGATGAAGAACTTTTCCTATCCAAAAAAATTCACCTTTTCCTATAGCACCTTGTAAAACAAGTTGTCTTAAACTTTATTATCCCTAAGTAAAACAGACTGCTAAACCAGAGGACAAATAATTTGCAAACTTGTGTTAAGCCTTCAGATTACATACAGCTTTTTTAAAGCACTAATACAACTGGACATAGCAACCCTGCAGTATTAGTCTCACACATGCTGCATCAGTGGGAATAGCAACTCTCCGTTGCTTTGCACTATCCCTTCCGATTTTAAATCAGACTAATACACTGCGAAACCAAATTGCTCAGGGAAGTCTATTACACCAGCGCAGTTCTCTTTGTCAGCCCTGACAGTCACCTCTTCATGAAATCACACTATGCGTGACATGAACTATCTTCTAGAATGCCATGTGGGCAGGCATTCTAATGCTCTATGTATTCCTTTAATATTTTCTGATTTTAGCCTTCAACAGCTGCAGGAAAAATTGCTGCAAACCTTCAACAATTTCCATCTAACATCTTGTCTACTCAATGATGGCACTTGGATTATTTCATTAATTTAGAAATGTGAGTAGGAAAACCAGGATGTCCCCCAAATACAGAACGGCAGTGTATATTTTGCCTGTTAGAGATCTCTGTTGCCAACTTTGCAAGCTGTCTTAGAAGAGTGGGAAGCAGCTGTCTGAAATGAGGAATTCAGGGAAGTTTCAGATAGGAAATCATCTGCAAAATACAGGGATTATTTTAAAGAGAGGGGGAGTTGGAGAAATATTTTAATTGGTGTTGAAAGGAAGGGGATTTAAGAGATTTTTTAGGTTACAGAAAGCCACAGATAGTTTGGAAGTGTAAAGAGAATAAGGAATGTCCTCCACTGAAAAAAGAGTGTGCCAGGTTCTCAGTCTCTACATTGTACAAGTACAGGGTTAACCTTGTTCTGAGGGTACTGCATATAGCAAGCAGATAGGCTGAATGCATATTAGTTACTGTACTACTGCCTCTAGAAGCAGAGATACTGGCTTTTATTCAAAGAGATCACCTTATCAGTTATTTGTTCTTGAAAGAGAAGCCAGAAATATACAATTTCTACAAAGAGATTAGAAAAAAATAATTAGGCCAGGTCTAGAGCAGTCTTCTAAAGCACGGGAGTAACTATGTTACTCCCGCTGCTCTAAAGCATGAGGGTGTTCTTGTAAGGGACCATACATCTTAAAACAGTTGCTGAACAACTGCTTCAGACTTTCTATTTTTTCAATTAGCTAGGCAGCATCTTCTCTGCTAGTTTCTTATAATGGCTGGTGGACTTCTAAAATCACACTTGTGGAGTGTTTAGGAGGAGGCAATGCGCTTGAGGTGCAGGTATAGTTACCTCCCACTGACAAAAGTCCCACATTTCTGAAACAGAAACAAATGTTACAAGATCTCCAGGCTCCAGCTTATGTTGAGTTATTCAGGAAAACTAACAGGACTCTGCAAAGACCCCACAGTTAGAAGAAAACATTAATGAGTCATAAAAAGGCAGACATAGTCTTTTGAGAGCTATTAAAAAGACCCAACAGCTCTCACCCAACACATTTTAATGCTTTTACAAAACCTCACATTTTCAAAATTCTTAGCCAACTTCCTTGAAGCCTAGCTGTGCAGCGACCCAACTTGATGCAGGTTTGTCTTTTTAAAAGTTCACGGATTGTTTAAAAACTCAAAATAACGAGGTAAAGTATCAACTACTGAGAAAATTATGTCCTGTACTTAAAACAAAGTTCAATTTTCCAAAGAACAACTGGGAGTGTGTTTGTGTCTAAAAAAGATGCAGACATAAAGAAGACTGCAAACCCTCTAAAATGCAAAAACGCTTGTTTGGGATCAAATCAATCCCCAATAATAAAAAGTATCCCTTGATGTAACTGACTATTTATTCAGTGATTACCACTTTCTGTTCACATCTGGGACTACAAGTCACAGTGTGACAGAAGAAGGGTCTTCAGTGCTGGCAATTCTGGATTTGTGTGTTTCTTGGGGATACCCTCAGGGCTTGAGGCTGTGCCAGTGATTAATTAAACTCACTGAACCTCTGGAATCAGGGAGTGCTGAAGGCACTCAGAATCACCTGTAATATGTATTCTTTGTAAGGACAATGCAAAGCATATTTTTAAGCTTCTAGAATTATTAGCCATTTATCTTGCTCTATTAAAAGTACAGTGTAATGCCAAAAACGTTCTCTTAAACTTCAGAGGAAATGAGGAAAAGAATTTCAAAAATAGGTATTATAAACATGACTGCTGATGAAAAGCAGAGAAATACCATTGCATGGCTGTTTTCTATTTCACAGGATTACATCATTTCACTTTGCAGATGGACAACAGTGGACTTATTTTTATCTCTGGCTCATCTTGATTAAAGAGGAATTCTTCTAAGATAAATGATTCAGGAGGAAACATCCTTTTGGCTTAGAAAAGTCAGTATGTAAAGGCAGCAGTTACTTTTTAAACAGGACACCTCTGAGTTTAGTTTTCCTTAGAAAAAGAGATTGTTATGTCAACTGGTTTTGCAGAGCCAGCAAAGTTAGACAAAAAGTTTTTACTGTCTTACATGTCATTACTAACACTGTCCACCAAATCTAGTTTCAGAACTTTCATCTCTAGAGCTGATGTTAGGCATACAGAAAACTCAGTTGAGTTTCAGAGGTGAAGAAGTTTATGAAAGAAATTTACTCCTGACATCTAAGGAGGAAAAGACGTTTTTAAAATACTGATAACAAACATGGAAAGAAATGCATCAGGTATCTTCTTTGTGGTCACTTCATAATGCTATATATGTATTACAAAACCAGCTGCTTCCAAGACCAGGTCTAGTGAAGCAAATGTTTTGCTTCTTAGTATATTATAATTTTTATAATCTTGAGTTGCACATTTAATACAATCCAAGCTTTACACTGGCCACGTACACTGGCCCAAACTTTTTTTTTTTTATCTTTCATTCACGTAACTACAGTTAATAAATGAGTTCAGCATGAGTTGATGGGAGGCTGTGAATATAAAATCTGTAAGTATCTCTGGACTCCATCAAGGTTTTTTTTCTTAAAATGGTATCAAAATCAAAAAGGTAAGAAAGAGAAAAAATCCAGTATAAATCTATGTAAATCGCTTAAGTTTGGTTCTGAAGTCTCAGGCAAGTTAGATAGGTTCTGGACAGTGTGGAAGCATCTTGTATCATAAGGAAAAGTAAATGGAAACATCCTGTCGAAGAATGTATAAATAATAGTGCAATTATACATGCAAATGATGCAAAATTGTTTTCAAAGGCTAAAGTCAGCAGCCTTCATGGAGAATGCTGGCTTCTAGTCTTCTGCTTTACCTATCTCCCTATTACCAAGCGAATTATCCTTACAAATCTTCTAGCATCTTATTTTTCAGACTTCCACCTTGCTTGTATCCCTCTTTTCCAGTTTACTCCTCTACCACCAGCTGTAGAATCACCCTCCTCCGCAACAAAGCAGGCTCATCTATCAATACTTCTGCATTTTTACCTGTTTATTCTCACTATCTCTGATGAAATCTCCTCACTGCGGCTCCTTTCTTTACCGGTTCAGTAAGAATGAGTATCAGCTATACTGCCCTTTCCTCACCTGGTCCGCTTGCCTGCCTACATTAAACTCCCTCAGCCCTCCTGCAGCTCACCTAGCAGGCTGCAAGCGAGGCAGCTCTGAAGCACTGGCCTCTTCCCCTCTGCCCGCCTACAGCTGCTCAAGTCCTGCCCGCGCCGGTGGACAACATCTCCTCTGCAGCCACTGCTGGCTGCGAGTCTCCTTCCTGCCAGCCTAAAAGCTCAGTCCCCCTCATCTCGATCCAACTTTTCGTTTCCACCGTGCTCCATATATTCCCACGTTTGTCTTCAGCTAGGACCCTTAGGGCACAAAGGGTTATTTTTCTGCTTGTTTTCAAAAGTACTAGGAGATCTTTTAACTTCTGCTAGAACACCTACTCAAGGACAGAAGGAAAGGACTGCGTTTTACTGTTTTGTTTGAAGGACAGACCCCTCCTGAAGGCTGATTCTGAGAACACCACGAACATCCTGCTATTATCCGAGAGGCGCGGGAAGCTCCCCCCTCGCCCAGCACCCCCCAGTTTCCCTGGTTACAGAGGGAAGAACAGCAACCTGGCAGCCGGCTTCCCAACTCCTTCCACCGCTCCTCCTCAGGCAACGGCGCCCAGCCGGTCCCTAGGGCACCCAGGCCGTGTGCCGTGGTGTGCCGTGGACGTGGGTGCCGAGGGGGGACATTAAATATCACCCCTCAGCTAGGGGTTCACACTCAGCTTCCAGAAACACTTAATCGGGTGACCTGGCATCGTCTCACTGAGTCGAGCAGTGATAAGCAACGGTAAAAACGCTGGCGAGATTGTACCAGAAAGGGCCCGTCTAATTACAGGGAATTAATTCCTCCAGAGCAGGACAATGAAGTGCCACGGGAGTGGGCGCGGGGCCGTGAGGCTGTGTGGAGAACAGGAGGAGGCCGCGGCGGTGCCAGCTCTGCCGTGGGCAAGCACGAGAGGGCTCGCTGACTAAACCAACGGCTTGTGTGCGAACTGGGTGTGAATCACAGCTCTAAACCAAAGCATTCGCCTCGTGGTGTCGGTGTAGGCAGGAGCTGCAACGGTGCGGGGGGGGCAAGGAGGCAAGAAAAAGTAATTTACTTGAACTGGAAGTAGAAAATAAAAGAAACCAGATCATTCCACTGCAGGCTTTGAACTACCAAGCAGGCATCCAGAAAAACCCCAGAAACCGTTTAAAGCAAAGGCAAAATATCAGCTACGGCCACACAACTGGTCCAAATAAACAGAAAAATGCAGTATTTAGAAGAATGCATGCTTAAAAAGAAAAATGCAAGTGGGTAAAGGAAAACAATTTCTGGCGTCATGTTAATTTCCATGAAAAGTCTCCTTAATTCCAGTGGAGAATTTACTCCTGAAATGTATTTGTAGCTTTTTTACATGCACTGGGCTGAAATCTGAGTAAGAATGATTTCTACTTATCCACAAGGGATGCTTGTTGATGCAGATTCAAACAGGCTATGCATGTCTTTACACTCCTTCACCATCTACTACATGATGAACACTTACTCATCCAATACAGTACTCACCAAAAAGAAAAACAGGGGACTGAACCTTTCCTTCCCCTCACCCTAGAACAATTTTCAGGAAAAAAAAAATAAAGTATCACTTGCACCTAAATAATTATTTTTTTCTTCATTTTTTTGCCAGGGAAAATGCAGAGAAAGGATAAAAAGATTTCCTTTTGTGACAGAGTAGCTTATATAAATGTCACCAAATTCCTACCAGACAAATGTCAAAATTCACACAAACATGCACAAAAAAAAACAACCCACCAACATTACTGGTCTTCTTTGCAGTTAGCGCAATAGGATTTTATTCTGTAACAAGTTCATCCACATTTCAAGATATAACATGGAAAATATTTGTACAGAACATGAACTGAAGTCTGTGAAGGTTCTGATCTAGTATTCTGCAACAGCACTACAAGGTGTTACCTGATCTGTAGTACATATTGTACCCAGTACCTGATCACACACAGGCAACCGCTTTAGGTTTTTTTCTCCCCAGTACCGTTTATCCACAGAGAGCTTCTACCATAGTATTCCTCATCTTGCATTTTCATTACATCTTCCCATCTTTCATCTCAAAATACTTAAAAGCACTTAGAAGAGCAGAGGGAAACGAAGGTCTCAAACTCTAGCATCTGAAATACTCGAATGTTGGCCCTCAAAGAGGTTTAATTTGGGGAGGAAAAGGATTTACTTTCTCTTTCCCCTCCTCAGTGAAGACTAACTCTGGAAAACCCTATGTACTGATACTGGCAGATTACAAACCAGGGAGAGCCTGAATGCCTGTGATGACTGTTAATCTGAATCCCTTTTCCCTAGACTACATTCCTCTTCCCGTAACTTGCTTCTGAACAAAGTAATGATGAAACTTGAAATATCTACAATCAACTTTAACTTTCTCTTAATGAAAGAGAGAATGCTACATTGCAATAGAGTATGAAAATTACCTCTTTGGTGGTGCAGCCTGAAAGGTGGTAATTTCCATCAGAGCCTCTTGTAACTCCCACTTGGCAAAGCATCTAGTGTCACAGGATGCTCTCAGAAAAACTGCAGGCTTTGGGAATGTGCAAAGAATACGCAATGTCTGCCATATAATTATTGAGTTCCCTTAGGCCCAGGATGCAGTTAACTGCAACTTACTCAAAGATCACTCTGCACAGGGGGCTCATACCTTAGAAACAGGTATGTCACGCTTGCAAAAGGAATACACTTCATAGGTAGCAAGACTCAGCTAGTCAGAAATATCAGGTCAGAGGCACAGAGGAAAAAAATGAGGAGAGCTTGAGGAATACATATATAGAAAATCATCCATCTCAGGAAGAAAAGAGAAGGAATCATGCAGTAGAGATCAAAGAAGGTGGCCAATTATGAATGGCAGAGACTGCATTTCCCCCTTTGCTCTTACTGACTGTCTTACAGAAAATAGAGAACACAACAAAAAGACATCTTACTCAAGAACTGGGCTTGATTTTTAAGAGGGAAACTGCGAAGTTTATACTGAAATCTAAGTGGCTTTGAGTCTGATCCATGGAAGGGGAACACATGCACTTCTAGAAATGAATCCAAGAACCATTTACAGTTGCCCAGAGGAATGAACTTTCCAGCTGCCATTCTGTAATCACCACAACATCAAAGATATGTATTCATGCTATGCGCACTGATATAATGCGCTGGTTATGTGATCTCATGCTCAGGGACCAGGATTAAATTAACTTCAGACAACAGAGAACTTACAAATTGGAGAGCTGGTGAAAAATATAAATTCTGGGGTTTTTTTCTAATTCAAATTCTGACCTTTGCTGTTCATGACTAGGTGAGCCAAGCTGCCTCCTGATGGGCAGACATCAGTACGTCAGCATACAGATTTTTAATAGATTGATAATCATCACCTTTGCTTTCTGCATTACTAATTTAGAATAAATAGCAACATAAACAGACAGTAAACAACTTCCCAAAGTTCGCAAAGACTGCACATGCAGAAAAGGAATCTGAAGCAGGATACCCAGAAACGAGGTCTGTATTCTCAACACAGGAACATGTGATTCCTTTACTTGGATAAATACAAACTGCAAAATTTAAGTTTTAAGTTGGCTTGTAAACACAAAATGCTGTGCTCAGGAATGCTATCTAGAAAAAGTATTCACTACTGAATCATCAACTAATTCCTGAACGGATGTTCCACACCCAGCTTCTTATTAAAGATCTCTATTTAGTCTGTTTGGTATGATGCCGCAACACGGTATTTTATGGAAAAGAAATTTGCTCTGTCCCTCTGTTCACTGCCCCTCAATCGTAACACACGCAAGTCAAACTGCAAACATTAAGAGGATTTTTACTTACAAGAGCAGTCAGAGCAACTCTTCGTCCCACATACATGATGTGTTCCCAAGGTTTGCCAGAGTTTAAGAAAACGGTATTAACTCTTTGGTTCATTTACACAGTGGAAGTCCCCTTCCACCGTCATGGGTTTCATCTTAAGTAAGAGGAAATGCCCTTATTTGGGCAGAAGAGCGCCCAGGTTGCAATTTCACTGCAGCGCTACACTGCTGCACATTATTAGGGTGGTCCCATTCTCACCCTCAAGATGTCACATTGCATGCAACAGATTTCTTGATCCCTACACTTACTGCACACAACTTTGAGTTGTGCTTTCATTAACAACCATTAAACGTTTTTTATAATTAAGTTCTCTAAACAGAGGGAAAATACTAAACACATTAGTAACCACAGGACTCTGTCAATGTGATAGGAACACTCACAGGGGAGGGCTTCTTCCTCATCTCAAAGGTCCGGGTAGCACCAAGGCTGAGCGAGGCAATGACAGGATTTTTTTCCCAGTGATGGTTCATCGTCACTGTGCCAGTCGACGCTATCCTTCTCATTTCGGTAGAGGTTGCAGAGAAGAGAGTTGAAGGTAAAGCCTGTGAACTCTTCGATGCGCTCCTTCAGCGTGGTCAGCAGAGGATGCCACTGCAATCAGCACAGCAGGAGCAGGGTAAGTACAGCAAAAGCAGGCCAGCAGCAGATAACGTAAGACACCAGGGGAAAGCTACTCAGAAACAAAATATACAGCACTTTAATCACAATAAACCTGACATCAAACAAATGCCTCTGAACAATTCTGATTGTACTTTTAGTAAAGGTGAGGAATGGGCTTTATGGGAAATATGTGTGTGTTACCTATCGCTCAGTACTAAATCATCTCTTAAAACTATGAAGCCAGCGTGCCTTTCATACTAATGCAGTCAGCCACCTCAATTAACTGGAAGTAAACTAACAGAGGAAAACCTGCTTGAACTGACCACGGATAAACACTGGGAGTTCTTAACCAAGACAAAAAGCGTGCAACTCCTCCCACACATACCTGGGGTTTTTAAGCTCCTGGCAGAGCTAGAGGAGTTTAACACGGAGGTGTTAAACTCTGGTAGCATCTGAGTTACTCGGCCATTGCCGTGGGCACAGCGTACCCACGGAGTTGCAGTCGGTGACTAAAGGACAAGCTCTCGGCTGCCGGCAGCTGTTGGCCCAGGACAAGAGCCAACGGTCGGCCTGAATCTGTCCCCGCTCCCCTAGGACAGCTGCTTCCACCTCTCGGGGTTTGGACCTCGACACCACAGGCCCCGAGTCCCGTCCCTCCCCGTGCTCACAGCTTGCTGAGCCCACAGCCCCCGGCAGCTCCGCACACGCCGTTACAACTCAGCCCAGTGAATCATTATTTCATGTTACAAACTTACATCATGACTTTCATCTGTCAGTGCTTTTAAGCACTACGTAAGTATCTAAAAAAAAAAAAAAAAAACCCAAAAAAGTCAAAACAATGTAGGCCAGAATTTTTGCCCGTTACGTAAGCAGAGACACAGATCAAGAGAGGACAAAGAATTGATTCCAAATCTCCCAGGGCATCACTGGCAGAAGGAACAGATAGGAGGAATTATTTCCTACTATCTACCTCTAATAGTTGAGTCTGCACCACCTTCTTTCCATGCTTACCCATATTTAAAGGCTTTTTAACCTACTGGCTAGACTGCAGGAGCCTTAACACACCATCTTTCTCTAGTAAGGGTATTTCTAGCTAGGTCACCCCTTCAATGACTAAGCATCATGTGAATAATTAATTATATATAAACATAGCTTGCAGCTATGGGACATGTAGGGAAATCAGTAATACCACTCCAAAAAAGCTATAGCTTGTAACTGGGCTGCCTGAATGTGCAGTATGTGCAGGACACACAATGCAATGACAGAAGGGTCCAACTGAAAGCACTTTTCAGCAACCAGCTAGGACTGGCTTCCTTCAATTCCTATCACAGAAGTATTTATTACTAAAAATGTCACCACACGGTGAATTTCATGATTCAGTGGAAACCCTGCTACAAACCTGCAGGAGTGGAAGTAACTTTGTTGAACCGTTACTATGTCACCAACTACATCACTACTTACAAAGAACCATTTTTCTAATATCAGCATTCATTTAGGCATGAGCACTGGATTATACCCAGCAGTGCTGCAATCACACCCAGGCTTACCAAACAGAAGAGGAGGGGCACAAAGCTAATTATTCCTAGAGATCAAGCATTCAAGGCATGTAATCAGTTTTGGCCAAGCTGCGCACTAAATTGCACTTTACTCGGGATATTTTTGTGATATATACCCTATTTTACAGGTAAGGACTGTGCTCTTTACACCATCTAGGCTGCAGGAATTCCCACCTACAAAGCTGAGTGAGATGTTGTGAGTGCCTGCGTGCAGGCTGCCCTTATTATCTGCCGACGGGCAGTTTCCAGCCAGTGCCAGGGCTGGCTCCCAGTTACGCAAGTTTGCCAGTGCATCTCGCTTTCTGCTGGACTTTCTTTCTCTCAGGAAAAAGGAGAATTATTCAGGGATAAAAGACAGGATCAGCATGCCTGACTGCTTAAGGCCTTGTACCTTGTGGATGAGAAAAACAAGCCAGTGGCCCTAAGAGAGCTAACTCTGAACTTCATGCAAACTGAGCTGAAACCACGAACTTGGGCTCTACCCAACCTCTGAGCAGCAACGGCTTCCACAACAGGGAATTCTGAACTGTATTTAAATTATTAGTGTACAGCTGAATGATTTGGGCCGGGGCATTTCCAATCCCTAAAGCCATTCGGCTTCCAGAAAAGTCCATTTAAAATAATATTTCACAAGTGAGTACACACCCACATAAACCCACACAAAATGCCTATTTTTCCACCACAAATTCCATAGGTTATGGAAATTTTGAACTATGGCATATTTGAGACTACAAAATCTTCACAACTCATCTTGTTAAATAACACCTTTCCACTTTCCCCAAACTGAGCTTTGCTAGGAGGTATCCCCCTTTGGCAGCAGTTCTGGGACCTGGGACACTTCTCCCTCATGCTATCCAGCCTTCAACAGGCACAATTTATGGTTCAGAACACTGCAGCCTACTGCGATGGAAATCTCTAACAAAACAATGCCAAGAGACAAGCCAATGGGACAACAGGCTGGAAGACAGAGAGAGAGAGAGTGAACAAGCACAAAATGCCAACAGGGCACTCAGAAGGGCTTTTTTAACCCTTCCAAAATAGCGTGGGAAATTGCATCATATAATCTTGAGTTGCTGGACAGGCAGGTTGTGTGTGTGAATTTCATCGCATTCACATAGGAATCAACAGTATGCCTAAACTGAATTGAATCAGTATTGAACCCAAGTGTTTCTGAAAGTAACTATTTCAGAAATTGGTATTACTGTACCTTTACAACAAAAAACTCAGTATTCCTGTGCACACTACAGTCCCCCATATAAAGATGCATAGAGTGAGTCACACAGAACAATTCAGAGTTTTGTCCAAAGCTGCAGTGACCCAAAAGCAGAACTTTGAAATCTGGAGTGATTGTTTCCTTTTGCCAATGTTTAGCAACTAAATCATGCTCCTCTCAGTCAATCCACTCATAATGCTTGCTCTCTGGAGTTGTCTATATTCCACTAGAATCCGTTGCTGATCACAAATGAAATGCCGATAGGTACTCTAAATAAAAATAAAGGGCAGAGGGAATTTTTGTCTTTCAATATCTGCAAAGGATTTTGCTGTAGATGATAATAAAACTGTAAACGCGTACATACATTTGGGTTTGGCTGCATTGTTATCCTGGAGTACGTGTACGGAAGTTCCCCAAACCAGGAGGTAAGCCTTGGTTCCTCAAAAGATACTTCTGAAAAAAAGAAAAACAGGAAGACTTTCTCAGTTGCTTTTTCAAAGGGCTTGAAAACGGAAAGATGATGCAAATCTGCCAGGAAACTTGATCGAAAAGGGACTGTACACTCACCTAAAGTTAAAAAGCAGTCCCTCAGCCTTACCTAATGAACTCAAGTGAAGGAACACGATTATTCAAAAGCAGGCCTGTCTCTGCAAAAGGAATTATTTTGCCAAAATCTTGGAACCACATCAGTTTTCTCATCCCTATGCCAGACAGGGCAGGGACTGGACAAGTTAAAGGCAGAAAAATGAAACTGAGATTTTATTTATAATGCTAGCTTCTTTTCTATTCTCCTGGGTCCAGTGCCCATTATGCTGGCATAAGTTGCAAGATGTATCTAACAGAAAGAATGAAGTGGAAGGGATGGCAGCATCAACGGGACATACAGAAGCAGAACACAGCAAGGCTGGACAAACAATATTTGTCAAATATGTGTGTGCTCTGTGTTGAAATACAAAGATCAAGTTAAAAGTACTTTCAACTTCTGAAAAGACTATCTTGGCAGCTATTTCTCATGCTTGACAGAGAACTTTCTCCATTATATGGTACCTTTATTGCGAGCCAATAAACACAGATGTCGAAGACATTTTCCAGCCCTGTTCAGTAACTACTCTGATATATTATCTTACAACCGCTCCTGGCTGAAAGAGAAATTTAGCTACAAAAGGTGCCCCTTAGCGAACAAACCCGGAATAGCAGTCTCTTCACTTACAGCATACTGGAACTAACAAGCAAAGACAAGGGTAAAGAAACATGGTCTGCTGGGATTTGAAGTGAGAGGTAAAAAAATATTCCTGGTGACAGAAACCTCGAAGAACACAGTTTCTGCAGCATCACTGGGAGGCAGTATGAAGGGATGGAGCACAGACTTAATCGAAAAAAAAAAGAGTGGGAAAAGAACTGGACATGACAGGGGAGACAGTTAAATGCAAGTATTTTTAAGACAGGCAATTTTAATTTGGAAAGATCTTGTTTAATTGGCAAAAGGAACATGGTGGTTGAGATTGAAAGAATAAGCAGCAGTACTCTTCAGATATGCATGAAAAGCCCGGAAAGAAACGGAAAGGAGTGGTAATATGTAAAACGAAAAAGAGTGATAAACAATGCATGGATTTGGGTATGGAAATGACCTGGGAACGACCTGAAAAGTTGGTCTTACCCTGTCTGACGTGAGTTCGCTGACCCCAGGGTATGTCTTGGAGGAGTTGTTCAAACATCCAGTCTGCTTGTTCCGAGTCAATAAAACCAGGAATCAAATTAATCCTAAGGAAGAAAAAGATAAAGAAAAGATGGAAGGAATATACACTTCTATACATGCTTTGATAAAATACTCTAATTTCCAGGATTCTCAAAGGAGCTAAGAATGGCTGTAATGCACCAGATGAAAAGTCAAAGCCCAGCATCCTACTTCTGGCCACAGCAAAAAGCAGGTGGGAATGAAAGAACAGGAGGCAGCAGGAGCTCCTGATGAGTCTTCCCCTTGACAAACCTGTCTAATTGCTTTTTAAAACCTTTAAAAACGTATGACACCAACAATACGCTATGAGCCCCACACTCAGCCATATACTGTGTGAAAAATGGCATCCTTCTGCTTGTTATTAACTTCACATCCGATAAATTACATTATTAGATTACTCCCTGATTATGGTACTACAATCACCATAAGTAAATAATTGCCCTTTATTCACCATCTCTATGCCACTCACAATTTGATAGCCCTTTATCACTACTGCCATTCTATCCTCTCTTTTCCAAGCACAAGAACCCTGGAGTATTTAACCTCTCCTGTTTTTCTATTTTCATATGTACATTTTAGATTTCGACTGTATTAACAGTAGCCTTCAAAAATTCCAGCCCCTGTGGTGGGCTGCTGAGTAGGAATGCTGTTCACAAGAGTTTACTCTCACAAGTATTCAGTGCTCCAAAGACATCACAGTAAGAACATATAGTAAAGGTACTAAAAGAGATGCACAAAACAATTACTGACTTTTCAGAAATGTATATATTCCAGCAATATATTATGAAAACAAAGTCCAGAAAGTGACAGAATAACCCAGCTGGCTGTGTATCTTTTCTCTTTCCTGCCGGTCAATACTTTTACTTTTCAAATTGGTATAAAAATTTCCTTGCAGCTTTAGAAGAAACCAAGGTGAAAGCTTTGAAATAAATGCACAAAAAGTTACTATGTCCTTGGTATTTTTTCCACTATTAATAAAATCTATCAAATTCAAAGAAAAGGATTAATACTGATATTGCAGCTCAGTCAGCAAGGTACAGTAAAATGCATTTCAGTTAGCAGGAATGACAGAACAAGTAGGCTTTGTTTTGAAGTGTCCTGAAGCCAAAATAATTAAGGCATAGCAAGTAAGCAAATGGTACAGCCCTAAAGTTACCAAATCTGCCTAAAGCTAAATGCTTTTATTATTTTAAAACAAGTCCAGTTTATAGCTAAAAGTTTTTGGTAGCTCTTAACTCTGTAACTCAGACATCACACACTTGCTAGCACAGGAATACCCCTCCCAACTTCCAGCAGCAACCTACTCTGGATCGTGAAACAAATGGACATGGCCCCTCCTCCTTATTCCCGACAGGAACACTAGATTCAGTATGCACGAGACGTTAAGACGTTCATTTTTCTTCTCTTCAGTGCTGCTCAGACCTGCGTAAGGCTCTGCTACCTGATATTCAAAGTACTTCCAGAATGACTCTGAGCAGAAGGTACACAGGAAGGGCAACGTGCACTTGCTAGAGTCAAAACACCCTACAGGGACTCACCTGCAGAAGGCTGCGTATCACCGTGTCATTCTGAAATAGCAAGTAACAAGTTTCATCCACTTACCTAGAAATGCCCGTCGGTACTCTGCTGAGCTCATACACACCGGGCTTGCTGAGGATGTAGAAAGGAAAGAGCCATCAGATAGACAAACAACAAGAAATTATCTTAAACTGAGCAGCATGGACTAGAATTTCCCTAAACCTGGACTAGGGACAGTTTTCTTTAAAAGAGAAAAGAAAATCAAAAAAAGGAAAGCAGTAATGTTCCAGAGATAGTCAGCGGTCAGAGTAAGGCAGCAAGGGGTGTTGCAGAAGCAGATCAGTTTGTGTGTACTTCACTACTCATTTCACCAAAGGCTCAATATACAATTTTAGGGCTCTAGAGAGAAGTAAACAAGGGATGTCACAGGGAATCTAAAGGAGACAATCATACAAGGCTGCACCTTCACCACTATGTTTGCATTTATAGGCACAGTGAGTAAGAAAATTCTACCAAAATAACCAAACTGAAGCCAATTTCATTTTCAGTGTCTGTAACTTCACCATACACCACCACACCTTGTCACATTTCGTGCCGAAGTTATCTGAGACGATCCCCATTTCAACACAAAGGGTAAGCGACCTACAAATATCTAGCTTCACTATGACACCTACTATCAGCTACTTTTCCAAGGAAGCACTGCTTGAGTTGTCATACCAGCTATATTCCTGGATAAGTAATTTCCAGCACAGTTCACACAGGGACTGTTCTAGGAAAATGTACATGGCTAACCAAAGGAGACATATTTGCAGTTCTGTTGATCCAGAATGTCCAAACTATTAATTCCTCCTGGCTTATACAGCTACACCAAAGCTATAAAAACTAGTTAACACAGACATGGACTCTCCGGATTATACATTCAGTTCAGGATAAAAGGGCTTTCAGGCCACGCTTTCTACTGGGATTTCTTCCAAAGGCATGGCAGTTGCAAGAGGAGAAGGAACTCTTTTTCAGCAGATTCCCACTGACCAGCAAGGCAGAAAAACCGCATGAAGGACAGTTAAGTCAGCAGTGTACTCACTCTATCACACCTGCCTCGGGAACTTTGCGCTCCACCTGAAAGGTAACAGGACAATGCACAGCGAATATTAACACATTTAAGTACCTGGCATGCTCTAGTCAAACAGAACTGATTGTCATCTCCAGCAGCCCTGACTAGCTGCATAAGGACGTGTCACTGGGAAAAACATACCTCTGGACAATTGGCAAGCAGTAACAACCCACCCACTCTCTCCATGTCTCAGCAACTCTCAAATGCAGCTACCGCTGCAGGTGGTTTTTAACAATCAACTGCCCCCTAAAGGACATTAATTTCTAAATTATTTGGATTACTACAATACTTGCTATTTATCAACTGCAACCAAAAAAAGTTCTTGTCCTTACATTTGGAAGCGAAAATCTACAGCAACTATAGGAGGGATGAAGAAATCCCAGGCCCCAGACAATGAGCAAAACATGAGACAGACCAGACGTTGCAGGAGCTGGCACTTTAAAACTGTCTGCACAGCTTGAGGTAGCTGGTTTCTGTTAAAATACAACCCAAACACAGCAGTTTAATCCAGCGTGGATTATCATTCTGGTTGTCTCAGGGATTTATGCTTCTCTTCTCTGAGCTCAGAGAAGTGCTGAGATGCAACGATGTACTGAGTAGAACGAGCAAGAGGATCAAAATATAGTACTATATAGATACCAGGGCTCTTCCACAGAGAAAAGAGAGTATTCTCACACCATCTCAAATCCTTCCATGCCAAGAAGACAGCCTTTCAAACACTTCTGGCTTAGAAAGAAGTGTTCAAGGTTTTTTTTTTTTCCCCAAGCAAGGAACTGCCCTCCCACTGCGCAGAGCACAATATCCTTCATCTGTTACTGGGACATAAAGCAAAATCTATAAAACAAATCCCACACTCTTCCCCTGTAACAAATAAGACAGATATCCCAACCGAGGGAAGAAACAGAGCTCAAATCATGCTTAGGATACTGCATCATTCCAAGTATTTAGGAGGACATACTCTTATGGCTTTCTGAAAAAAAAGTAGTTATGAACAGGTTCATAATGAATACACAAAGTCTGAGGCTAAACAAAGGAACCATAACTTTCTCAATGTCCAATAATTTTTATCATTTTAAGTTTAATAAAAGATGAGATTCTACTAGTTACCATGTAACTTTTACCTCTGGTGGCTTTTCAAAGACAAATTGCTTTTGAGTGTGAGGCTGATCCTTCCTGATCCACACTGGTTTAGTGCCTGCAGGGGCAAGGCTGCTGGCCACAGGTGCCTTAGGTGCTGAAGTAAAGATCAGAAAAAAAAAAAAAAATCACATGAAATTAAATTTCACTGAACAAAAAAATACAGTTTGGAAGAATTTAAAAGAACCATTTTTTGAGGTATTCTCCTCCGCTTGGCGGAAACTTCAGGGAACAGCCAAACCTACATTAAGTAAAAGTTAAAACTGCAGACACTGAAATTTTTTTATATGTTTGCTATTCGTAGACAAACAGAAATAAAAACATCCTTTTATGAGAAAAGATGACATCTAGAACCTTTCAATTCTACTACAAACACCTATCACATGCCAGCAGAAATCTTCCCAAGCAGCTAAACTGTTTCCCTCTACAATTACTTTTAGGAAACAAAAATATATTTCTCTGAGAAAAAAATACTTTTATGAAAACAAGATTTTGAAACAAGGGAAAAAGTATGGAAGAGCAACTCAGGCATACCACTTCCATGTGTTTTATTTACATAGGCAAGCAGGCTTAAAAATGGGCCTGAAACAGAGACAAAGTAAAAGTCTTCACTCTGCATAAAGTTTTCACTCTGGTAAAAGCAATTTTTTAAAAATACCCTTAGGAGTAGGTGGAATGAAACAGACTTAAGACAAAAAACTCACAGGCTACACACACAAGTCGAAATAACTGGCTAATTTTTTTCAGGATTAAAAAAAAATCAGCTTGCCTAGGGTGCTCAGTCTGCAGAGAAATGGGGGCTTTCCTGGGTATTGTAATCAGGCGAGTGGAACGTGGTGTTTTGATCACATTCAGGAAACAGACCAGTCCTTTTTGGAAGACTGGAAACCTGCGCAGCGCTCTCCTGCCTTTGCGCTCTTTGCTTTAAATGTCTGATAGAAAACACCAATGTTAACTCCAGCCCTCAACTAGCGTTCTTCATTCTGCAGTGTTTTCACTGTGAAAGGAAGACACGTAGTAAGTTTTATCAATAAAAAGTGACTAACAGTTATTATAGAAGTTAGCTCCACCGAATTCCATTTGTCTCATTCAACTTGCCCAAAGGTAGGCACAGTACACCTGCATAAGTGTGTGTGTTAGAAACACATCTATATACACACACAGCTAACACATCCATATACACACACAGCTAACACATCTATATACACACACAGCTAACATATCTATATACACACACAGCTAACATATCTATATACACACACAGCTAACACATCTATATACATACATATGCTGCTGACCCGGTGTTCTGCGTTCCAAACGACTACAACGGATCTGTGACGTACGCACAAATTTTACTTAAAATAACTGGAGCAGCAGAACTTTTAGTGACGGATCAGGATAACTACCGACCCACCCTGACGCCTACCAGCTGCGCTGCTCGGCGACGAAAGGGACCCCCAACTCCCAACCGCTTTCCCAAGGGCTCGTCGAAGCTTCCCCCGAGCATTTCGCCCTCCCCGTCTCTATGGCGGGAAGGGCGAGGCCGAGGCAGCCCCGCGGCCCCGGCGGTTCCCTCCCGCGGCCGGGGATGGGGCTCCCCAGCGCCCTTGCTCCCTCCCCGGCGGGCCGGGCCTTGCCTGCGAGCCGCCCCGCCGCCCCGCCGGCCCAGCCGCCCTGCACGCGGGCCCGCCGCCGCCGCTCCGCCATGACGCCGCCTCAGCGCCGGGGCCCGGCCCGCCCGCCCCGCCCCGGCCCCCGGAGGCCGGCCCGCAGGGCGGCTGCGCGTTCCGCGGGGGCGGGTGTCGTGTCGTTCCCCGCGGGGGCGGGTGTCGTGTCGTTCCCACCCGGGGCGGGTGTCGTGTCGTTCCCCCGCGGGGCAGGGCGCTCAGCCGGCGGGCAGGCCCCGCCGCCCGGCCGCGGGCCCGCGCGCGCGGGTGTCGGCGAACGGCCAAAACGGCAAAGTTTTTTTTTCTGTCAAAACGTTGGGCTCGCTGCGGCGGGGGAAGCCGTGCCAGTGGCACACCTACTTCCACGCGCGTGGGAAGCAGCAGTACAGATCCGGAACGTTTACAAATAACGAGGGAAACCACAACGCGCCCGGCCCGGTGGTGCCGCATCCCAGCGGACGTTACGGCCCGGTGCCAGGCGGCTTTTCGGGAAGGGGTGCAGGACGGCTCCCCGCGAGAGCGGGGCAGACACGCTACTCACCTCCCACCCAGGCAAAGGAGTGAAAACCCACTCCGGCTCTTGCACCCGTGAAAAAAAAACCCACCCCCGGGAGCGGGCGCAGAGTCATAGCACCGCAAGAAAACCCCTCCTGTTTTCTGTCGCACGCCCGGGATATTTCCAAGTACATCAGGACGCTGTTGAACGCACGTTACGTCAGTCGCTGAGGGAAGCAGACGTTCAAAACCAAAGTCAAGGCAATCGAGGTTAACAAGGGGCTCCTTGCTGCAGCGTGGAAAATAGAAGAAAGCACAAGTGTGGGAACCCAAACTGCGACTGGAGGCTCCCCCAGCCTCGCCGGGGCACCCCTGCTCCAGCGCCAATCAGATACGCACGCTCTTCCCCTCAGATGCATCCTTCTAAACACCTTCAGTGGTTAGAAAACTGTTATTTGGAAATAACTGTTTCTTATTAATAGCTTAACTAATTGTTCTAATTAACAGTTTATTTTGTGTTCCAGCGATTTTAGAAGATCAGCACTGTGAAACAGGTAACAGCCAGGAAAACAGATTAATAAAAGCTTTGGTTTTGGCATGTAAAAGTATAGCAAATTTCACTGCATTATTACATATGATAAACAACGATCAGGCATTTGAATGTACAGGCAAACATTTTAAGGGAAAAAACCAACACATTAAAAATGCAGAGTAAATTCCATTTTATTTGTTTTACAAAGTCAAAACCATACAGCTTGTTTAGTCCAATGCTTCCACATCAGATCCAGAGCAAACCAGGTCATGTGCTCTTATAGAACTAATACCACTGACTTCACCATCCCTGTTCCAAAAAATTAAGAAAACTATGGGATAGGATCTGCGTCTCAGATTTGATCAGCACCATTGCATCGGTATTCAGGATTTTTCAATGTACAGAAATGTTAGCCCCAAATCACGTCTCAGTACAACACAGTTTACTTCAAAATCAGAGCTTGAAATTATTTTTTCAAGGACAGAAAGCAACCTCCCCTCTTCAACCCTAGGAAGACACCACAGAAAACACTGGTAGCTGCTTGTAATTTGATTTGCCTTGTAAGGTTCAGTACATTTTAGGTTTACAAAAAGGAATGTCTGACACCAAAATCTTTACTTAAAGAGTAGGTAAACACAGACAACAGCAGTGCAGACTTCACATATACTCTGATCCCTGTCTCCTGGAGTTGGGTAACTTCAGCCTCACCAGAGCACTCCATTTTGGAATAGAACCATGAAACAAATCAGTTAATTTAAATTAAAAATGTTCTACATTTAAGGAAGTTTACTGGTTCTCATTTTTAAAGCAGTCTCAAATATTCAGGATTCACATTTCAAAGGGCCTCACCAAAAAGACAGACTGATCCATACGTGGAAGAGAATTTAACCGTCATTGCTACCAAGGGGAGTAACTAATCTCAAGCTCTGCATTTAAAGTGCCCATAATCTTTTACATAGCAACCAGCACGTAACACATAACTTGTGACATTTATCTACATTGTGTTATCACCACCTATTACAAAGAGCAGGCACTGAACTTTTAAAAATGTTATTACAAATCGTAAAGATTACATATTACTGAAAAGTTAGAATCCATATTTAAGAACCAAGAATTTAAATACTTGTCGCAATGTTATTTCATGTATATATTTATAGATGAGCAATTACACTTATTTTGGTTTTTGGCTCATTTCCCTAAAGTTCATAACCAAAAATCCCACTGGACCGTGTAAAGCAGGGGAGCACCCACGAGCTGGCTGACAATGCAGAATCCTTTCAAGTACCCAAAACCTGAGCTGGGAAAAAGCTACGCTCCGTCACCTTTTTAAATAAATATGCTCCCTTCCCACTCCTGCCCACCTGTCCAGGAACACGCGAGAACTACGATTTTTCTGCCCTTCACCCACGTGCACAATACATAGATGTGATGGACACTACATAACCAAGCTGTTCCTCAACAGCACAATGTCTGATCAAGTCCATGTAAGTATTTCTTAAAGCATGGTGCAATTTTAGTCAGAAGCACTTCCCCCCTCATAATATCTATAAACAAATAAAGCCTATTTTAAAATCAGTATTAGAAGTCAACAGTCTTGTTTCATCCGTATCCTCAAAACAAGACTGGGTTGCTCATTAGAAAGTTACACCTACGATTGAAGATTTTTTAAAACATTAGTTCTACTTGGTGCTGCAGCGTGGAACCTGCAGGAATCCCAGGCTTCTGAGATGAAGTTGCGTCCAATTTACTTCTCCTTCATTTTTTTCAAATAACGAGCCCGTATCTGTTTGTTGGTTTTCATGATTAAGTTAATGACAGTGGATGTAGGTAGAAGAGAGGAGATCCATCCCTGAAAAAAAAAAAAGGGGGGAAGGGGAGGAAAAAAAAGCTCAACTTTTTATAGCCTGTACTAAGTGAAATCTAACAATTACCAGCAACACACAAATAATACCAAGTTATGTTTAGACGTTAAAGAACAAAAATATTTAACATTCCAAATTATTCTTTGCTCTTCTTCCATAATAAACCCACACAAAGGACACTCCAGATCCTTACACTTCCCAAGGGGACTTACCATGAGTGCATGGGGCAGGCACCCGTTGGTCTGGGACTGCAGGCCCACCGTGCCTAAGGCAGCTCTGACATAGGTTTCAGGACTGGGCTTATCAAAGGTCGGCTTGCGGATTTTGGACATTTTTGTTGCCACATAATACGGGAGGACGCTCTGCACAGGTAAGAAAGATCATGTTAAGCAGAGAATGCTTTCAGATTAACTTGCAGATCCATCCGGGAACCAAAAATCATTGGAATTAGATAACTCGTATACCGAATTCTGGCTTAAGCCAGCCTTCTTCTCAATTCAAAGATCACAACGTACAATATCAAACCATTTTTAATCAGATATCTTGCGGGTCATGTTTGGAACAGGAAGGGTAGTTCAGTGGTCTGTTGACAGACAGCATCCCCACCTGGGGCCCTAGAAACACCACTGTTACAAGCGTATGGTTGAAAAGCCTTTCTTACAATTTGTCTTCTAAGTACAAAACTTCATTCAAGCTGTTTAACAGAAAATGCTGTAGTGTTGCTTCTCTGTAGTAAACCTGCAAGGTTTACTTGGGAAGGAGGTGCAGAACCCAAACAGGGATTTTATACTTGAGTAACAGCTCCTCAGTCTGGCACCTGTACAGAGAGAAACACAAAGGCGGGAGGAAGGAAGAGGAAGGGAAACACCAGGAAACGTGGAACGTGGAGCTTTTAACTCCACAGGAGAGCTCAGAGGAAGGAGATGTCATTACCAGAGTGGAAGACCTCAAGGACAGAAGAAAGGATGAAAAAATGGAGCACAGTTAATGGGCTTTTATAGAAGTGTTTAGAAGAAACAGAAAAAGTGGTGGTGGAGTCTCAGAACTACCCAGCCCTGACATAATGGAAACACGAGAGGAAGCAGCACGGGTATATTTGTTGACAAAGGGACACTGGTACCACAAAGGTGGGGCAAGATAGACCTGGGGGTCCAAAACCACATTATACCTATCCCCAGCTCATGCTACTGGAGAAAGAAAGGGAAGTGTGTGTATACTTGTATGCTAGGAAGCAACCCTGTTTCCTCATAGTCACGGCTTTCAACTTCTCCTTGATCGAGGCCTCTAAAAAAGTAATCAAAAAAGCCCCGGTCTATCAGCCACTTAATCAGATATTAAACATACCAGATCTCACAAGCTTAGAAAGGCTGGAATCTTACCAACACTTTGACCAGGGCCTCCCAAGACACTGTCTGTGGCTGTACTATTCCATACACTCTCATCGACTATTTAGCCATGCCATACCTGTGCACATTTCAACAGGAATTCAAACACCACAAACAGGAAGCATTGCTATGTCTGCTTATTCCCCAACTTTAGAATATTAAAACCTTGCACTTCTCTCTATAAACAGGATTTTCAATAATATACTGCATGAGTCCACTTTCAAGTAGAGAGGAAAAACATGGAGACCTGAATTTCAGAAATTTAAGCAGTTACCATCGTCTTCAAAGTCATCAAAAGCTACCAATGCCTGGATAAGAAAACTACTCATTCTGTTATCCTACCAGCATAGGTATCTAGTTTCAAGTCCAGAATGTGAACTTCATCCATTTTTCAGATTACATTTCTAAACTGAATCTCTAGTTTGGTGTTTTAAAAAAATAAAACAATTCTATGCTTCTTATTTTCTACCAAATTATATCTGCAACATCCCCAGAGTGGCATGATAGTTACAGTTATGATTTATTTTCTATCTTCCTCTGCTCAAAACAGACTTTCTAAGTGAACTGCACTACCCAGTTAAGCCACTGGATAGCACGAAGGGGCAAACAATTGTGCATGAGGATGCTTGAAAAAGCAAGCATACAGTAGCACTAGTGGTTAGCTACTGATCCACAGACTTCAAGGCACACAGAAGCAGGGATTACACTCCAACATTTTTTTTTCCCTCCCAAATGCTCTCCAGAAAACAGAGTTGGATGTTTAATT